ATTGAGATGGCACCTCTTAGGCCTCTTCAGTCTGAGTGGACTTTCCCGAAAAAAAAACCTGCTAATGCCCAGCACATAAGGGGATTCCAATCTAACAAGTCAGGTGTTTGTTTTCTATCTCTTTAATAAATGGTGAATAATAATAATGGCTGTTTTACTTAAGATTGGCAGCTGAGCATGCCAATCATGCTGCATTGTGAAAGGAAAAAAACAGAATGCCTTGACTTTTTGTGCTATAGGAGATACTTGTTAAGCATTAACGGCAATGGGAAAGCGCATGACAGCTATACAACAATGGCACATGACTTTCTAATTCAGTTTTACCTACACCAGCAATGGGGAACAGATGTTGGAGGAGATTTATAGCTCCTAGTAGCCCCTGGCCAATGCTGAAACATGCTGGAAGTGGTAATTCACAACAATCCAGGTAAAGCAAACTCCAATTCCAATCCTGTGCAACATTGACCCTCCCCTAATATTTTAGATAGTGCCTTAGATTACTGGAAATTCCTAGGGTTGAATCAAGGATATTCTGTATTTATTGCAGGTGTATCTTGCAAGCTTTACCATATTTTGATTATTTTTTTAAAGTTGCAGCAGTATACTGAATTCTTAGAAACTTGAAATATCAACAGCCATTTTATCACAAGATAACCTTTTTAAAGATAATTAAACTAATCAATCAAGCAGCTGTAACATCTACTTTATGGGGGAAATCTACATTTAGAAAATCTTAGTTTGACTAAAATCCAGTGAGGAGAACATCATAAAGCAATCTACAATTATCTGTGGTCTGGGAAAAGTAGATATGTCCATCTCTCAGAGTGTTATAACTGGTGGTCCTAACTGAACAATGAATGATTGAGGACTGTAATTACATACTTCCTCAGACCCTGCATTTTTAAACTGTAGAGTCTATTGCTTAAAAAAAAGATTAATGTTGGCCACTACTTTGGAAAGTGGTCAGGTTCATGGACAATTCAGCCAGCAGTACCCATCATGGTAGCTATAGATCATTTCCAATATCAAGGCAATAAGATTCATCCATCAAGAAAGCAAATGAATAGGAGGAAGAGCTGGGAAAAACCTCAGGAGGGTCCTAACAATTCATGAAAAATAGCTAAATCAATGTTTTTCAAACTTGGCAGCTTTAAGATATAAATAGTATGCTGGCTGGGGAATTCTGGGAACTGAAGTCCGCACATCTTAAAGCTGCCAAGTTTGAAAATCTTGTGCTAAATGAAGCAAAATCATTCATTCAGCTCTGAGATAACTTTCTGTCTTTTATTCTATCAGCAAATGAATTTGTTTTTAAAGCATGTGTTCACTGATATAGCAATATTTCCCAATTTAAAGCTCATTGACTCAGCTCCCATGAACTTCTGCCAATATGGCAAAAAGCAGACTGTGAAATCCATCTCAGTAGAAGCACATGCTCCCCAAAACAAGGAGCTCCATTCAAATGCTACCCCATAATTATACTTAAGGCTATTGAAATGAGGTTTTTGCCATTAAAATAAATATACATTTACTGGTGGGTGATTTGGGGTAGAGAGAGGGGTCGTCCTCCCTCCAGTAACAATAATTATCAAAAAAATTCCCTTCCCCTAAACAAAATCTAATAGATGGTATCTCAATTTTTTGGATTCAATTTAGGACGTACTCTCAATTCCTAATTCTTCATATTTATATACGGAGTTGCTATTTGTACCTGGATGTTCAGAGCTCTATTTAAAATAGTAAGTCGTGCAAGCTTGTCTGCAATCTGTTTACTCTAATCTGGAGCATTCCTTTTATTTGTATTAATTGAGTTTTCCATTACAGCTAATAACACAAAGGAGACCAAGTTAAGAATTTAGGGAAATTCTTATTGCACGCTGGGGACTGATTGATTTCACTTTGCTCATTTCACTGGGATTTCCGATCCCATAGGTCAGTGGTTCCCAAACTTGGCAACTTTAAGACTTGTGGACTTCAACTCCCAGAATTCTCCAGCCAGCTCTGGCTGGAGAATTCTGGGAGTTGAAGTCCACAAGTCTTAAAGTCGCCAAGTTTGGGAACCACTGCCATAGATGATCCATGCGCACCACCTCAACACAAAGGTTATCTCCCCTCAGCTCTTTGTACAGAACAGATGACTGACTCAGAAGTATTTACAATCAATAATGGATAAGATGTTATAGCAGTGCTATTTTGCTACCACCTCATGTTGCTTTTAGCCATTTCGGCACTTCAGATTCCTGAATAAATCTACAGTTAAGGCCATTGGCTAACACATCCCATTGCATCCTCCATAGATAAGAAACAAAATACTAGATTTAAGCTGGGCAATCCGAGGACAAGCTTGATTCAATATTTGAGATCTCTAGCAGACTTTGAGCAACATCTGGCTCAATATTTCCCTGAGTGCATCCACTAACTTTCTCTGAAATGAATTTGTGGTGACCTATTTATGCCCTACCCCCGGAGATACTCTGTGAAGATAAAAATAACACTGAAAGGACACTGGCAAAAAAAGGGAAATTGGAGGGAGAACACTGGGATTACTTTAGACAATTTGATATTCTCCAGAAGTTTTGGATTGGAACTTCGACAATCCTTGCCATTGGACATTCTGTCCGGAATCGATAGGAGTAAATATACAATATATTTGAAGAACATCAAAGGCCTTCACTGTCCCTTAAATTCACACCTCACTAAGTTGTTCTAGCAACAAGGATTTTTTTTTGCTTCATGTCTGTATGATATTTTATCAGTGACAAACTTAATTTTCTCAGCAATTTTGTGGCAGTAGGAAAAATGTCTTTCGACCCTCAATCAATAGTGGTAATGATTATTATTAAACACCTGGCCAATGTTTATTCATTATTCATCTGCAGGGGAAATAGGCAAGACCAAAAGTAGGAATGACAACTTGTTGACCCTTCACCATTTTTATCAAGATATAGTATGCACATGTGTTTGCTTGTATATACACATAAACATACCCCAACTAATCTGAACAGGAAAAATGATTTCCAATTTGAAATAATTACTCTCCATAGAGTTTAAAACTTTAAATAAAATATTAATTACAGGCCAGGGGATGGTATTCACTAATTAACATACTATGGGTGTTTCTACAATAGCTCCCTACTTCAGAGAATGATGAGAATAAGGCCAGTTTCTCTTCTTAATAATAATTTTAAAAATGCTAAGGATCTGCTGTGGGGTAATTGAAGTGTGTTAACATGACACTAAAGCAGGGGTCTCCAAAGTTGGCAACTTTAAGACTTGTGGACTTCAAATCCCAGAATTCCCCAGCCAGCCATGCCAGGAAAGAATAAGCTAGCTGGGGAATTCTGGGAGTTGAAGTCCATAAAGTTGTCAAATGTATAAAGGCTCATGAATTAAAGGAAGACTTTTTTTGTGGTAACCGATAGGGTTGTGAACACTTCTGGTTCAGTTCCCAAAAGGTGCTTTGCAGTACACAGGGAAGACACCCCATTCTAGGAAATGACACAAACGCTTTCAAGAGCTGCAGGGAGATTCTCCTTTCATGCCTCTGGAGAACTTTTTTTTTGGAAAGGAAAGGAAACCACTGTGTGGTTCTAAAAACCTAACTTCTGAAAGAAAGCCATCAAGATTAATAGGTACAAGGTGCAACCTTCAAGAGGGAACAATGGAAGTCTTTGGAAATGAAAGGGTCAGAGTGGTTTGCAAAACTGTATTCCTCTGGGATCCTATCCCCTGAATTGTATTCCTGGGTTCCACCACAAAAACGCGGTAGACTAAAGCGCGCTCGACGAAAGCGCGTACGTGACGTCATCACAGCGCGATGAAAACAGCACGCTGTGAGCGGTAAATTTAAAATTAACACGAAAACCTTACCCTAACCCCCCCAAACCTAACCCTAAACCTAACCCTTAACCTAACCCTAAACCTAACCCTTAACCTAACGCTAAACCTAACGCTAACCCTTAACCTAACCCTAACGCTTAACGTAACCCTAACCCTAACCCTTAACCTAACCCTAACCCTTACCTTTATGTGAATCGGCTTGCTTTAATTTTATTTTAATTTTAATTTAATTTATTTTTAATTTTATTTGTCGCGCTGCTGATGACGTCACGTACACGCTTTAATCGGGCGCACTTTAGTGGACCGCGGTTTTGACGGGTCACGGTATTCCTGTGGGATCCCAGCTGGTCCAGAATTCCCAGGCATCCACTCAAAAGGCAGTTGCTAGTGAATTTTGGGAGTGTCCCCAATAACTGTCCCCAGAGAACCTAAACCACATCAGCCTGACCTCTGGAACGGTGGGCCTTTGAAGTATACTTCAGAGCCACAAAGGAAGTGTAAGATGTGTGTGCATGCATATGTGTAGAAACTGTGTTTATGTGTGTGATTCATACACACACATGTTGCAGCTGCTTCGCCAAAGACCGGGGAACCTAAATCTCATCAGCCTGACCTCTGCGAACCTCAGAATATATTTCAGAAATACAAAGGAAGCATAGGATGTGTGTGCATGCGCAGATATTGTGTTTGTATGTATGTGCATCACACAGAGACGCATATGTCGCCACTGCTTCGCCAAAGATCAGAAAAGTTAGAAAACTACTAAGACAGACACTTGTCAAAGTCAGCTAACCTCCAGGCAGGTGGAAAAGACAAGCCTTCTTGGAGACTTCTTGGAGAAGAGATTCCCTCTCCCCGTTTCTTTATAAAGTGCCGGTTCGGTGGCCTTTTTTTATCCCAAACCTCGGAAGCCGTCGGAGGGCGAGAGGCAGCAAACCCCATCGCTCAGCTCGGAGGCAGAAGCCAACCCTCGCCTCTCTCCCTGAAAGGAAATTTGCGGAGAGGATGCGGGGGCCCTGCAGGCCCAAAAACACGAAGGCCGCTGGGTTGCGAGGGCGCGGTGCGCCTGCTCCGCTCGGCGGGGGATCGCGCCCGCCAAGGAGCGAGGCCGGAGCGGAGACGGCGAGCGAAAAGACGAGGCTGCCACGCGGCCGCCGCCGTTACCTGCAGCCGCAGCTCTCCACCACCATGTCCTCGTACTGTTTGTAAACCACGTTGTTGCCGGAGTCGGTGTAGAGGATGCTGATGGGGCTGAGCTTGGAAGGCACGCAGCAGCTGGGCGGGGTGGCCTCGGGCGCCATGGAGTTCATGAGCGTCTGGATGATGGCGTGGTTGGTCGGCTCCAGGTGGGAGCGCAGCGGGAAATCGCACACGCCGTCGCAGTGGTAGGCCTCGTAATCCAGGGGCGCGATGATCCAGTCGTCCCAGCCCAGCTCCTTGAAGTCGACGTGCAACGCTTTGCGGCTGCAGCGGCTCCTGGTTTTTTTGCTCTGGCTTCGCCCGCCGGAGGCCCGGCCCGCCAGCGCCGTCCGCCGCCTCCGCCGCTGCTGTTTGGCCAGAGCGCCTGGGCTTAATAACTCGTGGGACCCCGGCGGGAGCTCGGAGCCGCCGCCGCCGCCGCTCAGGGTCCGGATCTTCTGGCGGATCTCCTTGAAGAGGTTGTCTTTCCGCTTGGTGCGGGAAAACACCACCAGCAGGGCCCTCTCGTGGGGCTGCGATGGGCGCTCCCGGCCGAAGCCTAGCTGCCGGGGGGACAAGAGCTTCCCGGTCTGGGCCGAGACGACCCTTAGCCAAAAGCACAGCACGGGCGGGCGCTCGGGACGGCCGCCTGGCTCGGCCCAGGGCCTCAAGGCTGCCCAGACGTCGAAGACTTCCCACTGGGGCGTAGTAGTAGCGTCTCCGGAGCCCAGAAGGTCTCCCGCTCTGGAGTCCAAAAGGCCCGGCTCCCGGTCTTCTGTTTGGTCGGGGCAAATGGAGATCAGCAGGCGATGGAGCATCCCTTCCGGGGACGACGCCAAGCTCTTGTTTTCGGCGGCTTTCCGCAAGATCCTCAGTTCGGCCCCTACGATTTCGTCCGCTTCCGCCAAGGTAGAGATGTCGAAGAGGTATTGCTGGCCGGCCTCCCGAGAAGAGTCGCCTGGAAGAAGAGAAGAGAAATGGATGGGTGGAAGCTGCCTTGTTGAGCCCGGACAGCAAGAGCGGCTCCGTCCCGCTGGCTCTGTACCAAAAGGGATTCCCTGCCTGCCTGCCTGCCTGCCCGGTCTACCAACGCTTTTAGTGCCAGCTGGGCTACCCACTTTCCCTGCTCCCTGATTTATTCCCACTAGTTTTTTTCGGACCAATTGAATACAGTTACTGTTTGGATAAGGTTTTGGGCCAAATTCTGTTCTCCCCCCCCCCATAAGAACCCCCATCACCCCCAGAAGCTGGAGGGGGGGCAAGGATAGTTGATGCGCCAAATATAGCCTCTCAACTATCAAA